CATTTCAGTACAGAAGTGTAGAGTGCTTTCTTTTTGTGGCAGTTCCACAATTAAAAGAGAAAGCAACAAGCAAAGCCTTGCTCATTCACCTGGTCCTAAGAAAGTGGGAAAAGCCAATCCACATGGAATCTCAAAATTGGTGACAGTTCACTTAAGAAAAAATTTGAGAAGATTGAGAGGAGGAGAAATCTGTTAGAATATTTTAATAGATAATTTACACTAAGAGAAAATACAGAGGTAAAGCATCACTGGTTAATTCACATTACATGTAGTCCTTGAGATACAGTGTGGGATTCATCTCACCAAACTTAAGTTCTTCCCAATAACCTGTTCATACCTAAACTGACTCACCGACCTCACTGTGCAGACAACTGAACAAAACAAACACAGACAGCAGCATCTCTTAGCGCAGATCTGCAGTATATTCAAAATCCAAATTTAAATTAAATTAATCCCACTCTTAAAATATCAATTTTTTTCCTTCCCTCCTTATAAAGTGAGCCTGACTCATTAGCTGGATACAGCAGCTATATTCAGACTTACTTAGAGACATGCCAGCTTTTTAGTTAGAACTCATTATTCAAGATTGGTCAGAACTGAAGGTCCCACTGTTTGTCAGAGGTGGCAGGAGGGACGGCTTCAGCGAGACTCAAATTCCAACTAGTGAGCAAGAGGTAAGAGTATGGGAGTAGAGTGTAGCAATTACTATCAAAGGATTGTTTCATCTTACCTATTGTACATTAGCATCTACTGTCTTTTCTGAGCCATCAGAGATTTGCAAAGAGAAAGCCATCATGGGGAACTGGTCTCAGAAAAATAATGCTGTACAGAACCCTGTATGAACCAAAGCATGTTCCCCTGCAAACATCTTATAATCAAGAAGTTTGATCTACATAGGATCAGACCTGACCCACAGAGTTAAAATCAAGGTACAGAATAGAAGTTCAACCAGGCAAGAGCCCAGTTTTCTCTCTCTGGGAGAAGAAAAGCCATGTGAAAGCAAGCAGATTGTCCATACCATTCCACAAAGTTTTTACCATAGCTCCCTCCATGGCAGGCACTTCCTCTTGGGCTCTTTAGCAAAGTAGAATACTGGGACTTGACATGACTTTAAGCTTTGTAATGCCTTTCCATTTTTGAACAAAATGCTGTGAGCAAAAAACTGTATTCCTGGGAAAGCAGCATGCTGGTCTGAGACACAGCACTAGGATTTTCCATGTCTGTTTCCTTATCCCTGAGCAGAACTGCAGCCTGGCCAACCTGCATAACTCCCTCTCATGGCAAAGGTAAGCTATACATGGTTGACAAGGAGGGAGGGGGGGTCACCTCTAATACAGAAATCTGACACTAGAAACTGATTTAAGTACTTGGATATTTCTACCCTGCTACAGAAGGACACCTCCACCATCAGAGGTCTCATCAAAACTGGGTTCTCATTCCACAGGGTATTGTGGAATTTCTTGGTTTGCAGCAAGGTGTGTTTAGCAGAAACATGTATTATATCCAAAATCATCACCACATTTCACTCTAAGAGCCCAGCTCATTGATTTGTCCCCAAGAAGACAGTGCTCAATACAGCTGGAAAAGGAGAAGAAATAATAAAGGAGTCCATGGGAATTCAATGCCCACCTTCTCCTGCACTTCTCCAAGTCTCAGCTTTAGTGATTACTGAGACCTTCAACTGAGCAAAAGGATCTTGTACTATCTGGGCAGGCCTATCCAAGAGAAGTTTTTGCAGTATGAAACTAAATGCTGGATATTTCCAAAAAATGTGTTCAACACACACCTGTTGCACATGTAGATGAGATGGCAGGTTTATCAGGTTATATCTTTTCAAATTCTGAGCTGCATATGTATCTTGAAATTTACAGTTCACACCAAAAAAAAAAAAAAAAACCTACAACTTTACATCAGGTTTCATTTAGAGAAAATGCTTTGACAGACAAAACTCAGGTGTAATAAGCAGGCCAACCAAATTAAGTTAAATGATGCATCTTTTGAGAAAGGGCTTGTTATCTCTAGTCAATCCAGTATCCATGAAGACGCTGCTTTAATTCTCTTAATTTGCAGTACTTTATACAGAACTCAAATCTGATCACAAGCCATGTGAATGAACATATCCACTTCCTCAAAGGCATCTGAAGCAACATTCTATAATTTAGGGGCAACTCTGGTAGTTTCCTGACTCATCAAGTGTTTTTCCTCATTTAGGGTTTTATCTATCCAGGTACTTTTGCAGCAAAATAGATATATACTGCTTTAAAATACTACATCACTATTTAATCTGCTATTGAGGCACAGCAACAGCAAAGAGCAAAACTTTAAAAGCTATAGAAATACAACTAGACAAACAGCAGTCATTAAGCTATAATACCTATGATTAATACATAGGCTGTTAAATGATTAGTAATAAGATTAGCTTGCATCTCTCCTGCCCAATAGATACTTAAAGTAATTGCATCTTTGCAAACTGCATTATCATCACTTCATGTTCTTTATGATGTCATGGGACAGCAAGGCAGACTCAGCATTTTCTCCTGAGACTGCTTTGGGCTTTTTTCCTATAGGAATCAATTCTCTGGCAACAGATAGTTGGATATGGAGGCTGTGAGCACTGCTCACAAAACATCTGTCCAGATATATTAAAAATCAAAAAAGCATTTTGCATCACTGTTTAAAACTTTCCAAATTAAAGACGGCAAAGAAATAACACCAAAATATAAATTGTTTGATGTCAACAATAGTTTTAATTATATCCTAGGAAAACTAACATACTTGGAAAAAGCAGCAGAAACCCTTTACTTAAAAAAATGGTCTTCCAAAAAGGCAGGTCTTTTCTTCTCTGTCCTCTTGACATGGTGATCAATATGGTAGCATATTTGCAGTTATTGCTAGGTCTGCTGCAAACTTACTGCAGTCAATGGGACTCTTTCACAAGGTCCAACCAGCACTCAAGCAGTCTCACAAACAGCTTAGGTGAGTGACAGGAACTATATATTTATTTGGAATGAGAGCAGTGGAATTTCCTACTATGCCAGATTATTAATCACGGCTGAAGCATAAGTAAATTTTTTAGGAATAGGTCAGTTTAAGATATAGACTTATGATTTCAAACAAACTTAAGAACTGCTAGTTCTTCTACAAGAGAGGTAAGCTAGATGGGAGTCAGGTGACAGCAGACACTGCCCGATTATTCAATGGTACTATTTCTTGCCTAAAATAATGTCAGCTACTGCTAGTACTACACCAATCCATGTGCATGTGCCAGAATATGGGTGTGGTCCTTGAGAGAAAGGGGGGGGAAAAGTTCTTCCAGTACCTAAGATACCTTCAATAAGCACAAATAGATAAATGTGGTTGCTATTGTTTGGAAACCTTTATCTAATGAATACAATTTCAACCAATAAACTAATAGCACATAAATGGTTCTTTCTGTGGCTTCAAACCCTCTCCTGTATTCTACCAGACAAGTAATATCAGCATAATACAGTGGCATGAGGCTCATCATATGGTTTGAAATGCTCCAGGGAAATATGGGGCAGAGGCTGTGTCCTCTCAAAATCCCCAAAGCCTAATGTGCATCTAGGAACAATCTGACAAGGCAGCATACACATATCACATATGTCTTTAAAAGCTGGACCTCAGTTCCCTATGTCACAGTTAAACACAGAAGCTGTAGCTGGAAGATTAAGGGACTGGGTTTCCTCAGCCACACATGGATTCCTGCACTGAGACTGCTAATGCCAAATGCATCTCATAGATAATTAATCTTCACTATTCCTTAAAAAAAAAAAAAAAAGTTTTACATAGCAGTCATATAAATTGCAATACTTAAAATACTTATCTGCCTCTGTTATACTGTGAACTATATTGGCTCATATGATGTATCACACGCGCCAATATAATTCACAGTATAACAGAGGCAGATAAAATAGTTCAGGTTACTGTTGAGGCAAACAAGCTTTTTCAGTCTTGGAAGTACTGCTACTTAGCAATTATTTCCTGAAGATACTGTTTTACCAAAACCCAAAGAACCCATCTCAGTTGTAGCATGGGAACATGCTTCAAATAGAGCACAATCAAAATGGTCCAGTGACTGTGCTCCCTCAGCAATTAAGTTATCTGAATTCAGCAATCAAATGCTTGCAACAAAAAATAACCTACAAAAAAGTTTTGTTGATATGCTACTGCTACATCCTCTGAAACAATATAAATAATAGTATATAAATAATTTGCATTGTTCTGGAGACAGTTTGTAAGAGCCACGTTCTTACCCACATATACACACACAACTTGCTAACAAGCAGAGTGGGGTGTGTAAATCTTTGTTTCCAAGCAAATGCATGGATCTATAGGCACATGCAACATACCCCCAAGAGCCTGTCCGCTTTAGTCTGGAGGGTCTGAACCAAAGCAAGCTTAAAAGGGAAAACTTAATTTTCATTAAATTTAGCAGTTTCTGAGCATATGCACCTGTAATCTGCAAACACACAGTGGGAGCCTACAGCTCTGAAATTAAACCTAAGCTCCAAGGTTAGACACAGCTTTCTAAAGTACTGTCTTCCTTTTGGCTTTGAGAGTTCTGGACGCACCCACACACAACAAACCTCATGCCGCACGCTCTTAAAAGTTTGCCCTCTCCTCCTAACACCGCCGCAGACAAAGAAGAAGCACCCCTGTCCAGCTGCCAACAAAACCCAGCGCAGAGACGCTCCTCGGAAAGACGCTCGATCTTTTTAAAGCAGTTCGAAGGCGACTGAGCACCGGCAGACGGGGCAGGACAGGGCTCGACCGGAGCCCGCATCCCCCGCATCCCCCGCAGCATCCCGAAAAGCCCGCGGGGCAGCGCTCCCGGGAGGCGCTCCCGGCGCTCGCCGCCGATGCTCGGATGGTTCGGAGCGCGGTTCTCGGGCGGTTCGGAGAGCGGGCTCGCTCCCGGGCCCGCCCCGCGCCGCTCCCGGAGCGCTGCGCTCCCGCCCGGCCCCGCAGCGCGCACTCACCGCTGAGGACGCGCCCGGCGAGCGCCCCCGACCCGCACAGCACCGCGGCCGCCAGCACGGCCGCCAGCCCCAGCCCTCCTCCGGCCCCCATGGCGCTGCCCCGCTGCCGGCTGGCTCCGAGAGGCGCTCAGGGCAGGGCGATGCCGGCCGGCGAGCGAGGGACACACGGCCAGCCCCGCTGCTGCCCTGCACCAGCTCCGCGCCGCCCGCCGCCCTGCCTTTATCTGCTTCCCCCGGGGAGGGACCGCCCCCGCACCGCCCCCAGCCCCAGCGCCTGCCACAGCCCCTGCCCCAACCCTGGTCCCAGCCCCAACCCCTGTCCCAACCCTTGTCCCAACCCTTGTCCCAGCCCCTGTCCCAGCCCCTGCCCTTGATCCGGCCCCTATCCCAACCCCAGCCCCAGCCCCTCCCGCCCCAGCCCCTTCTCCGGAGGGGTACCGGCACAGGTGCCCGGTGTGCGGTCGCTTCCCGCTCCTGGTTGGAGGCTGCGGGCCGGCGGGTCCCTCCCAGGCTCGCTGCCGGGTCATTTAGGGTTAGTCACTGTCCCAGTGGCTTGGGAGTGTGATCCAAACCCAGGTGTGCGTTTTGTATCTGTTAAGGGCTTTGTAGACCTTTCTGGTCCGTGTTTTCTCAAAGAAGAATATAAATGTTCTGTTGCCAGCTTGAAAATGTGGGAATATATGTATACAGGTATATACCTGGAAAGCACATACACACTCTGCACTATAAGTGTATATACTGGAAAGTCCCCTTTTGTCATTGCCCCAGAAGATACTGTAGTTAAATCCACATTGCTGTCAGTCCAAAAATGCACTGGTAATTCTCTGGAGCTCTTCAAAGGACCACTCTCAAAACCTGTTCGTTCTTCAGAGTCACACTGATGTTTTATCTACACATACAGTTCAGAGATTTCTGTGATTACTTGTGTACTTTGTTTACTTTGCTTTTAAATGTGATAGATCACTGCAGATGTGCTTAAGGGACATCTTGTATGCAAATTACCAGATGGTTTTCCAGTTAATTTCATCTTTCTCAGAACTCAAAGATCATATATGGCATATTGTTAAGTCATTTTCCCTTTGGATGTTTATAGCCAGGTTTAGAAGTCAATACATCTTAGTCAATACATACATTATTATGGATTCTATAACATTTGATGGATTCCTAGCTGCCTTAAAACTACCTGGGATCAGTTTTTTACTCAAAAAAGCCCCAAACACTTGAGGTTCATAAGTATCATTGGAAAATTTTTTCAAGCACTGTTGTGTTTTGCTACCAACTTTTTTGATTAAATAGCAGAATTATTTGTTTGTTTGACTGATACAGATTTTTTCCAAGTGAATTTATTTTTCTAGACAATAACAAATTTTTCTCTGCATCTACAGGTAAGCTGAGCAGCGATCATACTGAACAATACATTCTGAAATGGAGAAGTTACCTTGAATCTCCACGGCATCTGAGATTAACTTTTCCTTCATGTTAAGTTGATGCAGAAAGAGAAGAGCACAATCCAGACCTAGGATGAATACAATGAGAATTTTAAAGCATTTTTGGTAATCCATCCATATGTTTTTTACCCTTCTCCTAAGTTGCTAATATAAGGGAATTCAAGTTTCTTCAAATAATCTTGGATCTCAAGTGATGTCCAGCCAAAGGAGGTGGGAGAATTTAGATAGGTGTTACTAGTTTTTTTGGAATGTAGAGTCTCCTACTGTTTCAGAAACGATGAGTGGACAATAAGGGACAATTCCCTCCAAACTGATGGGAATCATATGTTGAATACCACCCGTAGATACTGAAAGGTCCTCTATCTTTTGTAAGTTTGAGCAAGAGCACCTTTTGCAAAGGTCCTCTCCACCTCTGCAAGTTTTCTTAGCTTGCCAGCCCCTAAAGTCATTTTGAAATGCAACAATTGTATATTTGCACAGCTAAAGAAAGGCTCCAGGTATCCACACCACCTCTTTTCCAATGAAATTAGCAGGATGTAAGGGAAATGTAACATGTTCTGTCTTTAGTAAATTGTGCATCACCTTTCTCACATGCTTTGTGCTGGTTTATTAGCCAAAATTGTATACACAGTGTTGTGAAGTGGCTGGGCAACCTAGAATTTTAGCAAATACAATAATTGCATTCTAATTTTGAAGCCTAACAATACATATTTCAATGTTTTGGTACCTAGAATATGAATAACATCCAGTGCATTAGAATTTTGTAACTATTTTGGCTAAATCCTAGCAACTTGTATGTCCATGAAATTACTGTTGGAAGGAGGACTGTGTTTTCTCTGGCATTATTAATTTGCCATGTTGCAAAGTTTTCGTTCCTCATCTAGAGAATAAGAAATTGAAAAAAGAGCAGTTTAGCTGAACATAAAGCTTTCAAAATGTTGCTATCTTCAAATCAGGGCTAGGTACTTTTCTAGAGTAACTTTTCTTATTAATAAAATTATTTAATAAATCAAAGAAATTTAGTAAAATTGAGCACTGTTGTTCTAAAAACTATGTAAATATTTTTTTTCTAAATATGATCATTAAATACTTCTCATTGCTTTCTGAGCTCTTGAAGGAGTAGATTTGGGCAATTTTAAAAGATTACTACTATTCAGTATACTAATTAATTTTCAAATAAACCTAGAAGGGTAAAAAAAGTACATTAAGTTGGAATAGTTGCTCTTAGCAGCAACTCAAGAGTTCCTCTACTTTGTGATTCCCCAAAGTGGTAGTGCTCTATACTCTGCTTCATGAAATGCTGTTTAAAATCTGAGTTACAGCTCTTTTCTGAGTTCATTTCTCAGCAATGAATATTTTCTTTTTAGTTTTCTCACTCAAATGTAAAATCCTTCTGACATGTGCCCATGAGCTTAGTCTTTGGAGCTGCCCTGGTACACAACTGAAAGTAGGAGGAGAAAGCAGTGGCTTGCACATGGGTAATTTATTAGATAACTTTGCTAGAACTCCATCAATTTGATATCTCATTGGCTTACAAAAAGGGTTTGAGCTACTTAAGCTCTTCTGCCAAGTTTCTTGGGGCTATAATGACATTATATTTTTAATGGGTTATTTATTCCGTAGTTATGGAAAAGAATTCAGTACTGATGTTAAAAACATTTGAGAAAATATAAGACATACTAGATGAGGGAAGGGGATGGCAAAAAAGTTTCCTTCACCCCTTTTAGCATTAACCCAGGTGGCATTCAGCCATAAATTTAATGCAGGTTAAAAGAAAAAAAAAATAAAAGAGAAAAAAGAAAAGCAACAGGAGAGGAGAATGGAACTGTACCATTATTTATTATTCAAGTGTCTTAAAATTTATGTGCACCCTGCACAATATGGTGTGGTTTAGAAATTCCCAAACTAGGTGTGAGTTAATGGTTTGCATAGCTGGGGCCAGTGGTCCCCCAGTTGCCCTGGCAGTGTTCCCACCTGTGCAGCTCCCAAACCAGCTAATTCAGCGCTGCCTCGGGTGCTTCTGCAGAGTGCTGCATTGCACAGCACAAAATGCCACTGTGGCTGTGCGTGCAATGCAGCAGGACTGACAGCTACAACAAGTTCTGCCAAGGAGGACCAAAGTAATTGAATTTCCTTCTATTATAATCCATTTAGATGTAACATATAGCAGAAGTAGCTTAAAAAAAAAGAACAAAACGGTTTAGATAAACAGGATTTCTTAAAGGCCACAGGACTTTTTTTATATATCAGCACAAAAATTTTAAGTTCACAAATATTTTTTTTAATATTCTTAAGCTGTGATATCTTGCATCTACTAAAATTATATGCTTCCACCTCCCCCCCACCCCTTAAAGTCCCATTAAATCTAGTTCCTCAGCAAAATCTTCATAGATAGAGACTCAAATTATTAATATCTCTTGGGCTTGGATCAGACTAATCAGTGATGGATCTCTGCATGTTAATTAAGCCTGATTCTCAAACCAGCAGCAATTCTAAGTCAGCAGCTGTCCTGTCCCAAACTGAGATAATAAACTGAGTTTCAAATTGCCAAAAAGAACATTTTGACAACTTTAAAGCTTTATTGTGAAAACATATTCAAGGCAAAGAGGTAAATGAAAAAACTGTTGTTTGAAAATTTAATTTGCTGGGTAAAAGTACTTGGTCACTGGAATTCATAGCTGAGCCAAATTTCTAGCCCTTTCTTTCTCTGTCTTCTCAGTGGAAGCAACAAGTGCAATCTTCTCTTGAGACACATGCCCAGCTTCAAAGCTGGTCTCTACTGGAGTAGGTTAAGTTCTGTCTTCGGATGAGAACAAGCATGTGCGTATCTTTACTTGATCTTTGACTTGAATGATAACTCAAGTCCTGGTTATTGGTGTTTGTCAAATCCACACAGCAAATTTGGGAGAGTAAAAGTATTAAGATTAGTGTTCCTCTTTCACAGTGTTTTCCTGTTTTCTCTGCATACCAGGGGTGATGACAGGACCTCATTTGGCTGCTGGGATCTCTATGTATTTCAGCTACTAACAGTATTTACATAAACCTTGTACCCTTCATGAGAGATGTGCTGCATATTTCCCTTTTTCTGTGATCCTTGTGATTGTTTAATCTGATTTTTTGCTTATTTTCTCCTGAAATCTTTCTCTGTTTCTTAAAACATGACTACCAGGCCATTCATACCCATTCTTTCCTTCTAAACTGCTTTCAGGCACTTGAAAAGAAAATGTGATTTAAAGGAAACGTGGTGGCCAATAAAGATGACTCAGGTCTGCTCATCAGTAAAGATTACCTGACAGCCTCAGGATCTTTCCTTTCCACACAGAACTGAGCTGTGGGTTGTGTTTTGTTGTTTCTTCTTTCCCCTGGAGACATTTGTACCTACCAACAGAAACGGTTCAAGGCTGTGGAGACAAAAGGAGTGTCATGTATTGTTTTTGGGTGCATAGTAATCTTTTCTTTCTCATTGCAAAGGTTCACTCTTTTCCTTGGCTGTACCAATGCTTATTCTGTTCCTCTACTCCTCACCCTGTTATCCCTTTGATAATTTGATAATTCTGAGGGTTTTTGCAAGAATCCTGCAATATTACGCTGTCTGAACTCTCTTCCTTCAGCAGTTGGTCTCCTGAACTCTGCAGATGCTGATAAAACTGCAGCTCATTCTTGCTCCTCCTGCTAAGTCTGAACCATGTCCTGCAAGCCCCATAATGCCATGAAAACAC